CTGACAACATTTATATAAAGTTATAAACTTACTAGCACTTCCCCAAGTGTATTCTATAAAACTTTACAGAATGTCCTCTCTTTGATGGGGCTGAGTAAACGACCATGCAAGCTGAAATCATGCAAAAATGATCTTAATAATCTATGGGAAAAATCACAATTATTCCATGACTGCTAAACATTTTTTGTAAAAACACTAAAAACTATATTATTGTCAGTTATAAATGCATAGGGAAATTTTCTTAATTAATATTTAGTTCACTGTAATTTAAAACATTAGAAAGACCGAGAATTAAAGCACTTGTCTTTTGTTGTTCAAAATCTTATCAACAGTAGTTTGAAAAGTAATAGTGCCTCCTTTCTCCTCACGGTAAAACTGAGTATTTCGAGCAAGCATCTTTCCTACAGCTTAACAAATTATCATATTCCCTTCTAAGTTTGGACCAGCTTCCAACATTTCATCCTTTATATTTTTAATGTTGTAAATACAGTATCTCCAAGAATTTCTTTAATGTGAATTATTTTGCTGCTCTCAGTTCCTCTGGGACATCTTCACCTTTTTCATCACAGCCACTTTTCTCACTGACATCAATGAATTCACCTTCATGTTAAGTACCTACACTGCATATCTATTCTAGACTCTCTCAAATGGCAGCAGTGTATACATTCCCATGGTCAGCAGTTTCTTCTATAGCTCCATTTACACTGGATTTGGATTTCATTTCCTGCATTATCACTTTTCATTTCTTTGGTGCACTTTCATCTTTGTTGGCCAAGTCCCTCTTTCAATTATCCAAGTTTGTAAAATGTCATATATAGGTTTACTGCTGGGAGCTAAGGAAGCACACAAGCTATGCTGAATGTGCATGACCTGACTGAGGGAAGCACAGTGACCAATCACTGGCAGAATCTGAAAGAGATACGTATGAATGGTCACTGATCAGGATAGGCATCTGTTATTTATGCAGTGATTTGTGTACTGAAGAGACAGCTGCTAAGTTTGCACTTTATACAATTACCCACAGTTAATATACCATGGTAACTGAAATTTGAATGGTGTTGTTGGCAAACAGGTGTTATTTAACTAAACTGTGGTAACTAAAATTCATTCATATCAAAACTGCACAAAGCGAGGCCTGCCTATATTTCGATAGGATGTCTGTTTCCACATGAATGGACTGAGAATAATAATAGTACATACTATCTCAAAGATGTTGTGAAAATCAAATTAAAGACATGTAAAGCACTTCTATACAGTGTCGAGCACTAAAGGGCAATCACTGAATATTAGCTCTTATTTTTGATAATATGCTAAAAATGTTAAGTTAAAGAAAAAGAACCCTAATTAAATTGGTTTCTTTATTGTAGGACTTCTCAAACCTTTTAATATGCTAATAAGCATGCTGAATCTTCCAACGTATTTTATCAATTACTAAGATCTGTCTGGACCATAATTTAGCAAATGTTACATCAAGTTCTGATATAACTAAAAAATAACTAATTTTTTTTCATGAAAGTAATATCACCATTTTCAGAATACTACCTCTGGAACAAACCATTTTAACAAGTTAAATTCCTATCTCTTTAAGCTAACAAAATGTTCTCACATACGGGAAATTCACATAAGGCAAATAGCCTTAATCTATAAAGGATTCCTTCAAATTAACAATAAACAGACAAACCACAGATTATAGAACACCAACAGGCAATTCATAGAAAACATGCAAATGGCAAATAAACATAGGAAATTATGCATGATTTCACTTAAACTTACTTAGAGAAATTAAGAAATTTAGTCAACTGTCCCATATGAAGTAAGTTACAGGGCCAAGACTTAAATCTAAGTCTGAAGAATTATATACATGGAACTTGTGAAATACATTCTTAAATACAACTATGATAATTTGTGAAACTCCTTATATTTGAATATGTAATTAGTATAAGTCTGTTCAATGAGGAAAGCTACAATTACTAATGCCTTGAAATAAAAATATGCAAGTTCTATCAAATATAACTGTTCGCCATCTTCGGAAAACCTTTCTATTCTAATTTGACTTTTCAAGTATAAGTCTGTTCAATGAGGAAAGCTACAATTACTAATGCCTTGAAATAAAAATATGCAAATTCTATCAAATATAACTGTTCGCCATCTTCAGAAAACCTTTCTATTCTAATTTGACTTTTCATACTTTAATGAATACAGTTGTTGCTTTATAATTATTTATTTATTTATTGGGGGGGGGGGGCAGCTGGCTGGTTGGGGATCCAAACCTTGACTTTGATGTAATTAGCACCACACTCTAATCAAGTGAGCTAACCAGCCAGCCCCTCTTGTTGCTTTATTAAATAAATATCTTTAAAGCATTAAATCTGTCTTCCCAGGTTATCATAGGACATCTGGTTTCAATTCCTGTTCAGTGAAGAAATAGATTTTGTGTGCACTGTTTCAGGCACCAGGAATATAGCACTGAACAAAACAGACATACTTCCCAGCTTTCTAGAACTTTTTAAATTCTAGCAGAGTTTATGCTCTATATACAAGTAAGTTTATGTAGGAAGACTGTGGTTCACTTTGAACACAGATCTTACTCTTAAGGTTCAAAGTGATAATCAATTAACCCTATCTCGATAACGTGAAAACAGCATGGGGAAGCATATGCTGGATTGACTATTATATTTAAGCAACATTTTGCCAGCAGCTTAAGAAACAAACTAACATTAAAAATTTGCTAAATCTTTCCCCTGGAAGCAATAGACGCTCTAAGAAAGCACAGAGAAAAACATTCTGCTCTAGGACTAGTTCAGTTGCCGAATTAAAAAATACTTTTTTCAATTCATAGATACATGTAAAACACTACAAGTGAACTAAAAGGAGGCACCAATCACAATACCACTGACACATAAGCTCATTTTTTTTTAAAGTACCAAAAAACAGTAAATACGGAAATTCTTTGTAACTATGAACACAGTAATAATACAATTAGTAAATTTAATGGGATCGACTTTTTGTTCAGATTTTTTTTTTCTTTTTTTTTTCTGACTGGTAAGGGGATCGCCACCCTCAGCACGGTGTTGTCTGCACCACGCTCAGCCAGTGAGCGCACCGGCCATCCCTATATAGGATCCGAACCTGCGGCCTTGGCGCTACCATCAGCCGCACTCTCCCGAGTGAGCCATGGGGCCAGCCCTTTGTTCAGATTTTTTTAAATGACATTTTGTGTAATACGTCTGCATGTTTTATTATATAAGCCTTTTTACTGATTTTTTAAAACTTTTTTCAGTAAAAATTAAAAAGCTAAAAACAGCTTTTATAGAATTAATGAAGTCCAAAGAGACTCCACAATTCTATTACTAGAAATAATGTCTTTACTTAACACTTGTATGCAGTGTGCCTTATTACACAGTAGAGCTAGGAGTATAAATTAGCAGATTACTTTTTTAAATAATCAAAATGATAAACTGTAAATGCATTAAATATCTACCCTTTAATTTCAATCAGACTCCTAAATTAGAATGAGAAGATTTTTTAGACAGTTTACATTTTCTGGTTTTTTGGTGGGATAAAAAACCAAAATACTTCAAAACTACAAAAATGAATGCATCTAGATGTTGGCTGGAAATATTTTTAGAAGACTACTAACACACAATCAGTTAATGTTTCAATTTTAACTGAAAGAACAGTTAATAATATCTCAAGAAATTTTAAAAGTCAAAATGTTTCCTTTTACAGACTTTTAGTATTTTTCAAGCTCTTCTTTAAAAAAAAACTATTTAAAATGCATTTCCTTTCATTTCTTCCATCAGTTTAGGTCTAAACAGAAAAAAATTTAAAGTAATATATGTAAATACAGAAAATATGTTCTACAATAAAATGAATATTAAAACTTCATTAATAAAACTTTCATCATGCTAAACAATTTTTTCATCCAACAGGTACCATAATTAAAATAATTTTCTAGGAAATTCATATGATTAAGAAAGTGGGTGCTGTCCATACATTGTGTAGCTTTGTCTTTTTTTTGTAATTGTAATTTTCTTTGGTATTCTTTGATTTTGAAATATAAAAATTTAAATGCTGTTTATTTCTCCTGAATAGATTTTTTAAAACAATAAAAATTTCCTCAATGATTTTCATACTACTTTCTTTCTCTTTTGAAAAGTGTCTTTTATTTCTTCAAATCAGATCTCTACATAGTCATTTTTTTGTACAGTTTTTATTTCCTATTAAATTCACATAAAATGAGAACAAAGCAAAGAGTAATATAACTATGATAATAAAAAGAAAAAACTATACATTCATACAAAATATGACATTTTTTAAAAGATTAGTTGGTCCCTAAGTTTAGAACAAAATATTCCTGTAAACACCTCAACTCTTTTCTCCAAAGCCAGTAATATTTTCTATATAAACATTGCTGACGCATTATCCTTTTTTTCTTCAGATCTTATGATGTCATATCAAACCATGCTGCAGCAACATCCATTTTTGTGCACACTACCTTTTCTTAACTATACGTTTCTAAGAACCGTGCCATCATTATTGTAGTTGCTGTCAGAATCACTATCAACGTACTTGCTCTCCCTCCTGGTAACCAAACTGTATGGAGAAACATCTGAACTCCCTTCTGATCTACCACTGCTAACTAGATCTTGCTGTTGTTCTGAACCTTTAATTGACCTAATAAAAAAAAAATATTCCATCATGGGCACTTAATAACTTTGGAGGAAAAAATGGAACAAGTGCCAGTTTTGTGAAGCTACACTGATTGACAATTTAGTCTCCCTTTGTTTTCAGTATAACTCATCAAAATTATAAAATATATCTCTACTCATATTTTTAAATTATAACATATTATTTCATCATAAATAATTATCAAGAGATTAACATTAAATTCCTTTATCTGGATACATTTTAATGATGTGGTTTTTATAATAAAAATATAAGAAATTTTATTACAAATAACATTTAATTCTATCTTACACTCCATAAAGCTTAGTTACCTTGGTTTGGCTGCATATTCATATTTGGTCTGGGGCCATAGTTTCCCATTGGTTGCCCTTGACTCATTGTCATCTGATTCTGTACTGGCATGCTCTGCGATGATGGCACAGAATGGTTATAACCTCCCATGGATCCATGGCTACTAGAAGGCATATTCATGGAACTGTTCGTCATATTGAGTTGATTGGGTCCTGGTCCCTGCATAGGCATATGGTTAGGCCCTTTGAAAACAAAATGATCAGAACCAAAATATGAAAGTTAAACAGATACAAAAGTACCCTAAAAGGCTTTATATTTTTTGCATTATAATAATAATAATACCAAACAATAACTTGAGTATTTAACCAATAGCAAAGTAAATAGTTCACTTGAATAACAGCATTACTGTGAGATGAATGTTGTTATTCCCATTTTACAAGTTAAAAAACTGATGCTTTTGAAAAGCCAGGAACATTCTAAAAAAGAAGGTAATGAGGGAGGACTAGCTTTATAAGAGAGCAAAACATATCATAAAGCTGGATTGACTAAAAGAGTATAGTACTAACACATAAATGAATAGACTAACAGGTTAATGAATCAGAATAGAGTCTAAAAATAGACCCAAACATGTAATTTAGTAAATGATAATAGTGGTGATATTAAGTATCAGTGGGCAATAGAAAACTAATTTGGTAAATGTGACAACTGGGTAGCCATACGGAAAATAAGTTAGTTTGCTACTTCATTCCTTCCATTAAAACTAAGTCCATATGGATAAAATATTTAAACATTTAAAAAGAAAAAAGAAAAGAAACCATAAAAGAATTTCAAAAAGAAAATTTTCTTAAATAATCCTTGAATGGAAGGGACTTCTTAAGTATGCTATAAAACCTAGAGCCATAAAAGCCATATTTGATAAATCGGTCACATAAAAATAAAAAATTGGAACATGACAAAAAAAACCAAACCCAAAATAAATAATAAAAATGTAAACCAGGAAAAAATTACTTACAAGGCAAATAATAAACCAAACTAATTACTTAACATACAAAGTAAAACAAGATCATCAGTAAAAGAACCGGCAAAAAGACATGAAAAACCAGTTCACACAAAAATTACAAAAGGATTCATAAACATGAAAATATCAATCGCTTTACTTATAATATGACAAAAAGGCAAATTAAAACTATGAGACCCAACTTTCATCTTTCAGATTTTCAAAAGTCCAAAGTTTTGATCCAACGATATGAAGAAACACTTCCACACATTGTTAAGGGAATATAATTATAAATAAGTACTACTTTTATATAGCGCAATTTGCAGTAACTATCAAATTTTAAAATGCATATGCCTTTAACCCAGAAATTTCAGTTATAGGAAGTCATCCTATAGATATACAAGTTTCTGCGTTCATGAATGCAAAAAAATAGACATATGTATGCACATTTTTACAGTTTTTACAGACACATTCATGGCAGCATAGCTTGTAATATCAAAAGACTAGAAACAACCTATATTTCCATCTAAAGGAACTGTTTTAATAAATTAGAGTAAAATCATAAAAAAGAAGGTGATACAGTCATCAAAAGGAATGAGACAGCTCTTTATATACTGAATGGAATGATGATCTCCAAAATACATCTTCAAGATGGAAAGAAAGATACTTAATACTATTTATAAGAAGAAAAAAAGAAAATATACATGCATATTTTTTATATACACAGACTATCTCTTGAAGGATAACTAGAAACCAATGCCTCTCTGGAACTAAGTGTCTGGAGAGGCAGGGGCTGTATAACCTTTGGTACCTTTTGATTTTGGTGCCACAGGCATGTATTATCTAGTTTTTTAAAAATCAATTAATTTTTTTAAAAAGGAACCTGAGACTGAGAAGCTATTTGACCAAAGTCAAACAGCATATAGTAGCTCTGCAATTAGATTATAAATTAAAATACTAAAAACAAACTAAAATAGAAAATTAAAAATCTAGGGGGAGCTGGCCAGTTAGCTCAGTTGGTTAGGGCACGGTGCCGGTAACACCAAGGTCAAGGGTTTGGATCCCTGTACCAGCCAGTCACCCAAAAAGAAAAAAAAAAAGGAAGAAAGAAAATTAAAAGCCTAGATACAAATTTGTGTGCATAAAAAGACTGGTTAATATGGATCAAATAAAGAAAATATAAGATACTGGCCTTCCAATTTCTCCTGCGCCTAACGATAACTCTCTAACTGTTGTTAGGAGAATCTCCTAACGTTTTAGAGCTCTGCAGTATTCTGGACAACCTAGGTCAAAGCTGGCTGATAATCTCTGGCTTAGTAAAAGACTGTAACTACTCCAGATGGTCTTACACAAAAACCAAAATGTCTTGTTAACAATTGTATTGCTGCTCAAGTGCTTCTTTGGTCTTAGGCTTCAATGTTATATGAAGAAGTTAAATCAAAGTCCTAATTAAAGGTATCACCATAAAAAAATCACAAAACTCCTAACTAGCTAACCTTCACTAGCATTACCCTTCCAGTTCGAAAAACAATGTGTCCTGGTGAGCTAAATGGAGATTCAGCAAGAAGCTTTCTCCTGACTACAACCTGAAAAGTAGTTATGTCTTTATTCCCACCTCCATACTGGGTGTGAGCCATCAACGTTACAAGTCTTAGTGGGAAATAGAAGACAGCCACTGAAACATCATTGCCCTCCTACATGATCAGTCACACATCAATCTATAAACCAGGCTACACTGCCTCTTTTGCTCTGTGCTCTTTTGCTTCTTTTACTACACCTGCCATCCTTGGACACCAATGCAAAACCAACACAATCGGCTACAGAAGACACTATCCCAAGGATGCTAATTACTGATTTTAGTAATAAATTGTTCTTTTATTTTAATTACTTCCATTACTGCTAATTGTATAAGTTTCTTTTTGCTAATGAAAATAACCTTTGCCTTTAGAACATAAAAATATTCCCATATTAAATGTAAAGAATACTCCACTAAATCTTATGGCTACAGGTTGATGTTGTTTAAACAAAATAGTTGAAAGATACATTTCACATTAAAAATTCAAACCAGCAAAAGGTAACTAAATGAACATCCAATAGCTTAAAAGATATCATTCTAGTGACTGATTTTAAAATGGATAATTAGAAAAGGGAATGGCCTACAATATATGAGAGCTGACATTATTTTTCAACTTTTAATTTTGCTTTAAATTCAATTTCCATATTTATGTTATGCTATAAACATATATATTCATAAAAATCTAGATTCGGCTTCAATAACCAATGAAGAAATAACTAAATACACTAGCCCTTTAGAGACTACATTGTTTCTTTTCCCCATATGTTTTTTCCAATGATACTGTTTCTGCGATCAATAAATTTTTAAGTAAATAAAAACTCAGGTAAATGTTATAACACCTTTTTACAGATTTTAATTCTTAAGCCACGGCGCAATGCCTTTTTTTCCGAAAAGCTTCTAAAGCTAACTGTATTGCACAGCTTCAGACAGACTAAATTTAGCCAGTTCTGTTCATCGGAGGAATGCTTTGTGTCAGCTCCATCAAAGCCCAAGGGCAGCCTGATAAACACTGAATACAGGTCACGTAGCTCTGTAGCTAACAAACTCTAAGAGAGCTTGTACTCGGGGGCATTCAAAGCAGTTTTGTCATCAACAATCTAGTATCCCTTGAGCCCCCATGTCGTTTCAGTTGCTAAGCAACTCTGGTGTTAATGTCTTAGAGGAGAAAAACTTACCAGGCATCTGGCCGTTCATCTGGTTCTGCATGTGTGGTGCAGGAGGACCCCCACCTACCATTCCATCTGAAGGCATGTTGTGAGAGCGTGGAGGTGGGGGAGGACCACTCTGACTCATCCCCCCAGGACCCATAGGCATATTCTGTGTAGGTGGCTGAAAGAAGACAGTTTAGTAAAACAAGGGAAACAGTTAGACTAATATATTAAAAATGCATATGGTATAACAGTTGCCTATATATTAAATTGGATAGAAACAAAAACACAAATGCATTTCAATTTCTTCTAGTGCATTTTAATAATGGACTTATTAACATCATATTTAATACCCCTAAAAACTTCACAAAATGGTTAGCATGAACACAGCATCTGAGCGCACGTCAGACCAAAAGTACACCACAATTAAATTAAAGTATTATTTTACTTGATAAAATCTCAATAGTGAAAATAAAAATTTTAACATTCCATACAAAAAGAATTTTCATTTTTCATTTCTTTATATATTAATGACTTCTAAGTATCTATTGTTGTTATTTAAATTGTGTTAAAAAAATTAAGTCTCCTTTCAAAGTTATTAACATATTAGGTATATTTAATGATGGATTTTAACTGAAAAGGTACAGTAACAAAAAACTATAAAAGGACCAAAAGTCCCAACGTGATATATTTTAAACCATTTGGGGGAGAAAAAAGTGGTGGCAATGAACAATGGAAGAATGTTTTCAAACACAGCGACAACAGTTCAGTTCAACATTTTTGTGCCGACTACTGCTATAGATTGGAAACATTACTGATGGCCTCCAAGGGTACAGAGACAGCTGCCTCAAAAGGATGCCTTTGGCAAATTTCCTAATGAAATTTTGAAGAAAACCACTGACTAACCTTGAGAGTTCACAAAAGGGCAAAAGGAAAATATAGACACAAGATGGTCTGCAACACCTGGCTCTCTTATTAGGGATATTTTAGTGGAGAAAGTAAATGGTTATTTTCTTTCCAAACTACCATTTCTAAGCCTGCAGGAGAAAAGGGCAGCATTATTCTTTACTAATCTACTCCTGCCTTCTTTCTCTGATTCTCGATGTTCTGAACATAATGCCCATTCCAATAACTTTAGTTGTTCTCCTCCTCCCACATTTTTAGATAGCCAGTAGGTTACTGTGTACCTTTCCAGCTTGTGTGAACACAATTCTGGCATTCTCAACAGATAAGCATTGTTCTTTAGCCATCACATGTAAATACTCAAACCTCCAATCATTTAATAATCTCTAAGATTTACAAAAATAACCAACCACTACTCTAATAGCACCCATTTAAAAATCAGAATTTTAATTTCTACACTACTCTACCCAGAAAACTACTCTTTCTTACGTATTTTTTCTTCAATCCTCATCTTCAATTATTTATCCAACTTTTATTCTTTAAACACTTAATAACCTTGTTCAGTTTTCACAAAAAAATACCAAATATCAACTCAGTATGACATCTTTCTTTTAATTATACTTCATCATCCTTCAAACCTGGCTGAACTTGACCTTCTTCTGTTTGAAAACAAAAATCCATCCTTATTTAATAACCTTGTTCAGTTTTCACAAAAAAATACCAAATATCAACTCAGTATGACATCTTTCCTTTAATTATACTTCATCATCCTTCAAACCTGGCTGAACTTGACCTTCTTCTGTTTGAAAACAAAAATCCATCCTTATATATTCTTGTCCAAATTATCTGTTGAAAACTTATGTTCTCACTCTCAACAGTCAGGTCACTTTCTTGTAAGTCAACTCATAAAACATCATAGTCGCTGTTACCATCATGGTAGAACAGCTTGTATCAAACTAACCTTCCTGCTAATAAAAGTCATAAAATATAAAAAACTGTTTGAAGACACTACACAGCAACTTGGAGAGAGAAGAATAGAAAAGGCTACAATTCTTGAAAGAAAGGAAGCATATAAGACCAGCTGCACAAATGCCTTGGCTTTTTCCTTCGGTTTGACCGAGTAACAGGAAAATAAAGCCCAAGCTTTGAAAGAGGCAGTCCTGTTGGACTGAGGAGAAAACAGAGTTTTTGACTATCAGAGACCTGGAAACTAAAAAAAAAAGTCCCAGAGAGGAAGAACCACAAAGAGGAACAGAATTCAAGAATACTAGAAAATAACAGGAGGCTAAAGAGCTGAGAAGAGCTTCCAGCTGCTACCCACTGCTATGGAGACAAAGATTGGAGTATAGGCCTCACCAAGTTAGAGGGGCCTTCAGAAACAAACCAAGCTCTCTCTGTTGAGACTTCAGAAATGCCTCTCCTTAGACAAAGGTCAAAACTGAAATACACCAGCCCTACCAAGTCTTATCATCAACCCTCAATAGACTCAAGGTGATCTAGTACTTCACTTATCAAAGGAAAACTTAACTCTCTTTGGAGGAAAATAACACAAACCACAGCTTCTATAATTGTTTATCCACAATGTCTGGCATTACATTAAAAATTACAAGGTATTCTAAAAACAAAGAATAAATGGCCAACACCTACTAGGGTGGCTATAATAATAACATAAAAATAAAAACTACAGAAAACAAGAAGAACAGGCAAGAATGTGAAAAAAATTGGAACTCTCATATATGCTGGTGGGAATGTAAAAAGGTTCATCCACTGTAGAAAACAATATGGCAGATCCTCAAAAAATTAGACATGGAGTTACCATATGACCTAGCAATTCCACTCCTGGTAAATAACTCAAAAGAACTGAAAACACACATTCATGTAAAACATGTACCCAAATGTTCACAGTGGCATTATTCATAATAGGCAAAAAGTAGGGAGAAAAAAAAAAAGTCTGCCAACTGATGAACAGATAAACAAAATGCAGTATGTGAACACAATGGAATATCACTCAGCTACAAAAATGAATGAAAATACTAGTACATGCTACAACATGGATGAACCTTGAGAACATTATGCCAAGTGAAAGGAGCCACATACAAAAGGCCATACATTTTATGATCTATTTATGTAAAATGTCCAGAACAGGAAAATCCACACAGTCAGAGAGTAGATTAATTACTGCCAGGGGATGGGAGGAGGGAGAAATTGAGATTGACTGCCAACAGATATGGGATTTCTTTTTGGGGTGATGAAAACATTCTGGAATAGATAGTGGTGATGGTTGCACAACTATGAAGATACTAAAAACCACTGAATTGTATACTTTAAAATGGTTAGAAATGTGAATTTTATGTTATGTAAACTTTATCTCAAAAATAAAATTATCTCAATTTAAAAAAAAGAATAGACAACCAAGAAAAATAACAGAAAATTTAAAAAACACACAGTCATTCAGATTTTGAAGTTACCAGAGAGACTTTAACTGTGATTGGGGCTGGCAGGTTGTCTGAGTAGGTTAGGGCACAGTGTTGTAACACCAAGGTCAAGGGCTCGGATCCCCGTACCAGCCAGCCACCAAAAACAAAAAAGGAGGGCCGGCCCAGTGGCGCACTGGATAGTGCGCCGCTTGGGAAGCACGGCGGCACTCCGCCCGAGGGTTCAGATCCCACATACAGACCGGTTCCCGCTCGGACACAGAAAAAGACAAAAAGACAAAAAAAAAAAAAAAGGAAAAAAGAAATAACTGATTGATACGTTCAAGAAAAACTTAAAACGAAACAAAACAAAACAGGAAAGATGGAGAATTTGAGCAAAGTCCTAGAATTCTAAGAATCAAATGAAAATCTCAAAACTGGGAAATACGATCACTGAAATTTAGAAATCAATAGTTTAGAAAGAACAAAACGGGATTGGTGGAATAATGTATACAGAAAATATGATACACAGTGAGATATAAAGGACAGAAAATACAAAAAAGAGTGTAAAGAAACATACAACATGGGGAAAAAGTACACTAATTGCAGTTACAAACACAGAGGATACAAAATGAAACTCAAGCAATATCCAAAGAATGCTGGTTAAGAATTTTCCAAAGCTAACAAAAGTCATGAGTCTCTGGCATAAGAACCATGAAGATCTACAAACCTCAGCAGAATGTAAAGAAAGCCACACATAGACACATCAGTGTTTTTTTAATTTTCTGTTATTATTCTTGACTATTTATTGTTTTCTTTTGAGACAAAATTTTTTTGAGATAAAATTTATGTAACATAAAATCCACTGTTCGAACCATTTTAAAATAAACATTTCAATCCAAGTTTATTTATTTATGACTAAAAACCAAAGTCATAAATAAACCATTCAACTCAGCATTCTATATTAAGAGAAGATGTCCTTCCAACATGAAGATGGAAGAAAAATAATTTCAGATAAACAAAAGCTAAGATAACTTGTTACAAAAGAAGGGAATTCATCAAACTAAAAGAAAATGACCTCACATGGAAGCACAGAACTGGAGGAGTTAGAGAAGAATGGAAAGGTAAATATGTGGATAAATACAAATTAATATTGATATTTAAAAAACAGTAACAATAACTTGTATGGCTTAAACATATATAGATAAATATATAAGACAAACACAAAAGATGGTAGACTAAATGAAGTTAAACTATATAAGGTTCTTCCATTTTTCAGCAAGTGTTACAAGTACAAATTGAGACTAGAATCTAATAAACTAAAGATGAGTATTGTAATCTCTAGGGCAACTACTTAAAAATACATACATATTAAAAATTAACAGCTAAAAATCTAATAAAGAGGAAAAACACTGATGGATTAATTCAAAGAAAGACAGGAAAGAGACAAATAAAAAACATCAGGATGAGAAGACTCAAACCCTACAGTTATCATGTTCTGCATTAAATGTAAATGATCCCATCAATCCAGTTAAATAACAAATATTAATAGACTGGACTTAAAAAAAAACACAGCTATATTCTCTTTACAACAGACCTACTTTAAACTTAAGGGCATAGATATATTAAAAGAAAAAGGTGGAAAAATACACATCATTCAAATACTAATCAATATCATGATGATGTCACTATGTTAATATTGGACAGTTGACTTAAACCACTAGGGATAAAGAGGGATACTTTATCATAACAAAATGTTTAAGTTCAACAGGAATGTTTAACAATCTTAAATTTGCATACATCTCAGCACACAGCTTCAAAAATTTATGAAGCAGAAGCTGACAGAACTAAAAGAAAAATAAAA